TCAGTACCCTGGATTCTTGAAATTCAAATTTCCCGGCAAAGTAAAAAGTAAAATTTTCCTTGTTTTGGGTCATTAAGTGCTTATAACTTTTTGAAAACTCAATGGATCTTATTGAAACTCTTCCACTTTGTAGTCCTAATTGAGATGCGTCCGTAGACACCAAGATCGTAGGAATCCGTGCCGTCGTTTGGGCTGCAGTCGAATGGCAATCGAATCAATTTTCAAGTTAAGGGAGTTGCCTGTGACTAAGAGTGTCGGCCACCCGTTTGTTATCGGGACTTTAGTAGGACGTCATTTTCCTCGACCGGGGGTGGCTACCGCCACTCTTGACTAACACAAACACTGTAAAAATCGTATGCAATGTTAACCCCAACACCGAAAACACGGTGATTTCAACTGAAAAACCAAGCCTTTAGATACTTAAGTGATAGGGACACACACATATAACCAACAGTTTTGGAAGCTATTTTCGGATTTCCCAACGTTTCAAGGAGATTGCAGGTCGGAATATTTGTAAAGCAGGGTTAGATATTTTAGTTGAACAAATAACAGTTCAGAAAATATGCCAAAAACTAAAGAAATCTTTGTCAGAAGATGAAATTGATAACAGCCAGTTGGTTGTTTTGATTGGCCTCGATATTCGAACGCGTAGAGGTCCCGCTGACGGCGCCCGGTCGAATGTGTGGCAAGAAAGCCAGGGGGTAATTCCGGCGCCATATTGAATTGCCGCTAAAGCGCGGGCAAACGCGGCATTTTAAAATTTCGAACTTCAAAAGTCGATTTCGGAGGGAAAAACGGCTCGAAAAAATCTGAAAAAATTACTGCGTGATCAGGAGACAATGCAGTTTCTGAAAATGCAAGAATTAGAAACAGGTTAACAAGCTCATTGGTCTTTGCGAGTTACTTTCGACGTAGGATTTTGAAGAAAGAACATAAAACTCGGTGCTTTGATTCATAATTTTTTCAGTTACCCATTGTAGCTATACATTTCCAGCAGGCGATCTCCGAGGACTCTTCATGGACACACGACAGCACTGCCGTGCTGCGGAAGAACGCCGTATTAACATTCGAGAGTTGCCAAATTTCCTCTAATAAAATGTCTATATATGAAGAAAGTTATGAATATTTCTCCTCAATATTTTCAGACTTCCTATATCAAACTACGAACGAAATCCTGTGAAAAATTGGAGGAGAAATATGCACAGACTTTCCTGAAAATTCGTGACTTTTAGAGGGAAATATGGCAACGTCTGGTGGCTCATACGCCGTTCTTTCTAAGCACGGAAGAACACCTCTCTCCCATAGTGAAGCGATAGCTTCAGAGGTTCCTCACAATACAATGAGAGTTCGAGATAAGCCGTTAACTACCGATTTTCGCAAGTTGACGGCGAAACGTAACATTAGCTGTACATACGGGGCTAATTTTGCAGCTAATGGCAGCACTAAACGTCCAGAACATCGCGACACAACCATCGTAAAAGAACGGGTGACCCGCCGAAGAACTACCCTCAGGTTGAGCGTTTCAACTGATCTTAACGAGAATTAAAAGACGTCGAGAATATTAAAAACAAACGGAGTGATGCAATTGGGATGGGAACCCGAACCAGTGAGAAATATCGCACCCATTAAAGTGGAAGAGAGACGGTGCCGAGATAAGTGCTAACTGCGACAGGTTTTTCTAATTCGCCTCTGAGTTAACTGAGGTTATATTTGTATTTGCACCAATTACTATTTGGTATCAATTTACGAGTGCGCCGTGTTTGCGCGCAATTGATTTTGAAGAGTGTAGTTATCGCAGGTTTATCGTAGCTCCTGTAAAATCGATGAAATTTTAGTGGGAAATAAAATTCCATTTAGCAAAGTGTAATTTCATTTTGCATCCCCGTGTTTATCGTCACTCTTGGTCGTAAGATCGTAGCAAAAATGTAAAAATGAATCATATCCACTCTAAAATGCCCCCAAAGATCCATTCGAGTACTCGCATAGCAAGGCTTATATCATGACGAGTACAGTTCTTTTTAATCGGCATGTAACACATATTAGCTCCTACAAGACTGCATGAATACTTCACGCATTGCATCAAACACAGAGCCGTCATTGCGGTCAGCGTGAAACGGATAGCGCCTACAAGAATGCATGAATACTTCACGCATTGCGGCAAACACAGTGCGATCAACGAGAAACGCATAGCGCCTACAAGACTGCGTGAATACTTCACGCATTGCGTCAAACACAGTGCGCTCAGCAGCGGTCGGCGTGAAACTCATAGCGCCTATAAAACTGTCTGAATACTTCACGCATTGCGCCAAACTCGGTGCGGTTTGCGTGGCGAGGCGGCGGAAGTTAAAATCATTAATCCACATTTATGTTTGTTCTTTCATAATTTTTTCGTTCATTTCTTAAGAAAGGAAGGCCTTGTAAGACCCCACTTTTTAACAATTTCTGTCGAAAAGTGAAAAGAGGCTCTCCACAATTTTCCCCCCAAAAGACCTTAAAAAAAGGGGAAAACCGTTTCTACAAGACATAATGGGATGTTTTGTTTTAAGTATGAGATGGAAGAAATCCACTAACCTCTAAAGAAGAAATGAGGCTTCTAAGGCGACGCTCTAGGCCCTTTCGTCCGCCTTCGAATCCTTCCCTTTCGTTTCTCTAGACGAAAATATCATCGTGTTCTTCTCCCGATTTTTCTTCCTTTCCCTTGACTCCTCTTGTTTTTTTTCCTCTCATTTTTTGGGGCTCGGGGGGAGGGGGTCCAGACCCCTCCCCCGTAAACGCCTCTGCAGTCCTTAATATCTGTAAGCGGCTGCCATGTTGGCGTCACCAACCGGCACACACTGGACTAAGTCAATAGGAGTAGTCGGACAACATCTGGAAACTTTGAAAGCTTATATTTTTGAAATTATGAAACAAAGAAGTTTAAAAGTGGTTCCACTGGTTTTTTTGTAAAATTTACTTTAAGAAGCACCCTTTGAAATTGAATGGGCCTGTTGCATGCAAGAGATACAGCCGCGTGAATAGACTTTTTAGAGGTTAAATGACACGAAAATTACGATGGTCTCATTAAAAACGTCTGAAATACACTCCTTACTGCGCAATTTGCGTTGTTAGGAACGCGCTTTTTCAAATTTCCCGCGTCTGGGGGCAGTTTTCTAATCACCGGAAACGAGCAAACGGCGGGCTCGGTGATTTCCGGAAGATGCCGAGTCGTCGTTGTTGTTGTTGTTTTTTTTTTTTCCTTCAGTTTGTTTACAAACCCAACGTGATCTCCTATAGTGGTCCGTATACGCTTTATGCGTTAACCAAATCGATCAACTATTTATCCAACGCAATCCCTGTACATTTCATTTCACGATGTCACGAGCTCCGATTTTTAGGTTATGTTGTCAGTTTTAGTCAGAGACAAATAGAGACCGAGCACGTTGGGTTTTCAGTGAGGCACATCTAATTCTCGGGGATCCAACGGAACAACAGTCATGTATTTTCTGATTTCGCCTAAAGTTGACTGATGCTACTCGGCTGTTGGCATTATGGCGGCTTGTTTACATTCTTCCTAATCAATTGCAAAGCGGAAAATTTTCCAATTTTTCATTTGAAACTCTTCCAAATTGTCATAAAATGACCTATTAGAAGGTAAAAAATTAATTCGCCCCTTTTAATCAACATTTGTGATACTTTCGGTGGTTTCACCTTATGTAGTGAGAAGCAGATTCCTCGAGACTCTGAGCCTGGTCCGCAGATTGTTCAACTTCATAATGGATAATTTTAGTTATCGAACTTTCTTTTGACTTTAAATGGTGTATAATTTTTTCTAGACTGTATCAATACCTTGTGATCAAATTCTCAATCTATTAACCTCCATATCATGTCGCAGGATAGAGATATTTTAGCTATTTGAGATCTGTCAAGAACCTGATCACAGCAGCACTGCCAGTCTTACAGATACACTGTATTGAAATTTGACGAAAAAAAATTTACTGTCTATGTCATAAGCTGCTCACTATGATAAGTATTAATCGTGGATCAAATGCTTGATGTCTCCAACATCCTATCTCTAAGCCTGATGAAGTGCGTTGAAAGCGGAGTGTTATGGCTGCGAAGCGTCGATATTTGTTGTTAAGGAGGCGTGTAAATGAAACGTTTGGATAAGCTCGCAAGCTGTACGAATTCTTTTGTGTGTGGAAAATAACTGAATGTCCAGAATTCTAAACATCTGACTGTATCTCAAGTACCTAAAAGAAATGTTGGTCAGGTCAGAGTTTGTGAATCCTTGGCAGCAGTTAATGCAATTCTTCTACTTATTTTAGGCCTTCGCTCATCAAAGTTAGGTAAGTAAGAGACCGCTCAGATATATCATATTATGCTTGTCAGTATTAGCCCATAACTCCATAGTGTAAAAATCCTTGGAGGGTGAAGTGCCCATCATCTGATGGAGTTCCTGAGATTTGTTTAAGAACTTTTCTTCCTGATTATTCTCTCAATTTTACCAGAATTGTCTCTTCCACCACCATCATAAAGTATTTCAACCTTGCATTAAATGAGAAATGATGTATACGCTATTAGAATTCCTAAAATTGGGAGTCGTGAAACAAATAAAGTAGCTTCACCGTAAACATTTGCTAGCTCAGTTGGCAGTAAAACTCTCATTAATTCGGTGAAAATAAAAGTAAATGTTTTTTCTTCGCTCATTTCGATGAGGAAACACATTGAATACATATAAATTGTGATACTGGATGCAACTAATACTACTTCCTGTAAAATTGGAAAATGTGTAACTCGAAAAAAGGAAAGAGGATCTCACCAGAGTGCTCTCTTACAACTTATAGATCAAAATTCGTGATATTTCGGCCCTTAAAGGTTCTTTCATCATTCAGAAATAAAGAAACTAAATTTAGTTTGAACAGGCATCTTTCAAGAAAGAAATGTGACAGCTTATTTGCAGTTTTTAGCTTTTTCATAATGCGTCAAATCTACCTCTTGACGAGAACAGGCGAAGATTCAATCCGCGCACTACTTATTGTTGGTTTACATTTCTCACTTACCAAACTTTAATGAGCAAAGTTGTTAAGTACGTAGGAGAATTTCAGTAACTGCTGCCAAGGATTCACAAACTCTGACCTGACCAACATTTCCTTCAGGTACTTGAGATACGGTCAGATGTTTAGAATTCTGGACATTCAGTTATTTTTCACACACAAAAGAAATTGTACTGCTTACAGGCTTATCCAACCGTTTCATTTACACAGCTCCTTAAAGACACATATCGACTCTTCAGTCGAAATGCTCCGCATTCAATGCATTACATCAGGCTTCGGGATAGGATTTTGGAAACAGAATTATTTACAGAGAATTATCTTGAAAAAATTACACACCATTTACAGTCAAAGAACATTTCGATTGCTAAAATAATTATCCATATGGTATAAGGAAGTTGAACAATCTGAGGACCAGGCTGTCTCGAGGAATCTGTTTCTCACTGCAAGAAGTGAAACCACCGAAAGTATCACAAATGTTGAGTAGAAGGGGTGAATTAATTATTTACTTGGTAAAAAGTCATTTTATGACAAATTCGGAGAGTTTCAAAGGAAAAATTGGAAAATTTTCCGCTTTGCAAGTGATAAGGAAGAATGTAAACAAATCGCCATATTACCAAAAGCTCACCAGATGCGACTAGCACCAGTCAACTTTAGGCGAAATCAGAAAAATGATGACCGTTGTTTTGTTGAATCCGCGAGAATTAGATGTGCCTCACTCAAAATACATTGGCGGAATAGGGCGTGCTCGGTCTCTATTTGTCTCTGGTTTTAGTTGACCGGAAATAGCCGCGAGTTGCCGTTAATTGTTTCCGTTAGAAAACTGCCCCCAGACGCGGGAAATTTGAAAAAGCGCGTTCCTAACAACACAAATTGCGCAGTAAGGAGTGTATTTCAGACTTTTTTAATGTGACCATCGTAATTTTCGTGTCATTTAACCTCTAAAAAGTCTATTCGCACGGCTGTATCTCTTGCATGCAACAGGCCCATTTGTGACGAAATAAACATCGAAATTTGAAATTTTAGCGAAAAATGTCGTGTCCAATCTCTCCCATTAGCTCGTTCCACTGTGCGGCAAAGCGAAAAATCCAGTCGAGGATTCCCATGGTGGCAGGTCAAATGAGTGGAGGAGGTAATTGAGAGTGTATGGAAATAAAAGTGTGGGGGCCAGGGGGAGGAGAGAGGACAAAAGAAAGGTGGATGAGACGAAAAATCTATAAAAACAATGGGATATTGGAGAGAGTGGAGAACGAGAGCTGGAGATGGGGCGCTCGGGGTGACGGAACCTGCAAATTAAGCTGCCGATGTAATCCGCCAATAAATACCCGCACTCACCCGCATATCGTCGCTCGGCGTATAAGGGCGTAACTAAACCTGGAGATGAGCCCGGAAAGGCATTGATTATATGGACGGTAGGGTTCATCGCCCGTGTAGTTACGTCGTTATGTCAGGAGGGCGACGATATTATCCATTCTCATAATTCAAATGCGTCTCCGCGGAGCTGCGCCACCGTCACCACCATGCCAAGGTGGAGGGTCAACTTTTCACAAATTTCACGAAGGGTATGGATTCGATCGAAAAATGAAAACGTTAATCGATCGACACCGGTTCGAACGAAAAATTATTGAAAAACCGCACTGGAAACAAAAACACATTGGATCTAGATACCAGACTCTTGAAAAAATAATCTTGATTCAATCTGATTTTTGCTTAAATCAAGAACCAAGCCTCTTCATTTGAGCGGATTTCCTTTTGATTTAAGCTTAAATCCGATTGAATCAAGAGTATTTTTTCTTGTCAATGCTTTCAAGAGTCTGGACTCCAGATCCAATGTGTTTTTTTTTTTTTTTTTTTTCAGTGCGGTGTCGATTCGATCGACTCACGCGTTTGTCGATCGATTCACGGGTTTGTCGATCGATTCCTGGATTTTCCGATCGACTCAAAGGTCTGTGATTCACGGTTGTCGATCGATTTTTCGATCGATTCATGTCGATCGATTCACGTTTTTGTTTTTCGATCGATTTATGTTTGAAAATTTTTTCTTCGTGTAGGAAAGCAAGCTGTCGCAAAGAACACGACGGTGCTGCAACGGAAAAAACCTCGAAAAGAAGGAATCAATTCTTGGATTGTTGAATTACTATCAAATGATCTGGATCGATAAATCCACATCCTCGCAAACTATCACTTCAGATCATTTGATAATGATTTAACAATCGACCTGCTGAAGGCGTGATTCTATCCTCCTCCTAAGTTATTGAAAATAAGGAGAGAGACGCGGTTTCCTCTCTCTGTGCACTTTTTCATGTGACGTTCGCAACGCAAGGTGCATCGTTTACAAGCACTTTTTGTGAAGATTATTAAGAGATTCAAGTGAAAAAGTCTCGATCGCAACGGATGGTAATTGTTGTTTGATTTCCTCGAGCTTGCCGGGTTGCCTTTAATATGAACCACCTCGCTTCTATTCATTTTAAGTTATGAGAAAATGATGACTGCTAAGCGAGAATTGAAAATTCCTCGAAATACTCGCACGGAGACAGTGCGTTAGCTTTGCTCGCGAAATGACGCCTGTGCTGATAAAAAAAGGGTCGCAGTGAGACTCATTTTAGTACAGTAATTACAGCGTAAACGGCGAGGCGAAGTAAATTAAGGTTTTCGAAGTTTTTTATCTTGCGTAAGTACTGTGGATAGGTTGCCTGTATTCATTTTTGAAGTAATTACGAAGGCCAGAAAAGCTGCATAAAGCGTGAACAGTGTGGTGACAACGTGGTGAAATTATGAAGAAGGAGTCATGAGAATTGTATAAAGTGTGGCTCTGTTGGGTGATCAAAATATCTCTTTTCTCGGCCTAAAAAACTCTCTTTCTTTCTTATTTTTGGAAGGCGGAAGATGCATGTTGCTAATTAAGGCAACAATCAAAAAATATAATTAAATACGAATTCATCTTTATCTTGAGTACTAGTGGCCCTAACGCACTTTGTAAGGAGCAACCAAGACGGACTGAATAACAGGAACAATCTCCAGTAAATTGCAGGGGAGATGAAATTCACGTAGGTACTAGTGCTTACATGAAGGCTCTTTCCGAATGGATAAAGAGGATGAATTCCTTCAGAATGGATCCTTCAGGCTTCCCTGTTTCCTTCAGAATTGATAAGGAGAGTTAGTTCGCTGGTATTCCATCAATTTTACGCAATTTGATTTTAAGGTGATAATTGTATTCCAGCGGCCGAGCTAAGGAAAGTCCTACTGATTCAACTCCTGGTCAAACTTAATCGAGTGGAGACCCAAAAAGCCATAAATTCGCCGGATGCTTGCTGAAGAGTCAACCCTTACCTAGTCAAGATGTAAGGAATGCATGGAGACCCAAGAAGTGGTAGTTCACACGACCGCGAGTTCCTGCCAGGCAGTCGACTGAAATCACTGCCCAGAGTCAAGCTCGTGGAGACAACGCAGCCACATTTGCCTATCCTCGAAATGAAGGCGCCTTGTACTTCACTCACTTTCCCTGACCTGCGATTATCTCCGGCGATTCGAGTCATATTAGTCCGGCTCTTCCCATTCCGCGCTGTGTTGTCGTCGTGGGCGTTCCCTTGAAGTTTTCTGCTGATACCATCACACCTCATAGTTTCCTGGGGCTATTTTTGAACCGAGTGACCGCCTCTAGGGTGATTCTATCGCGACAGTACGAAACGAAGACTCCCCTTTAGCCGGACTTTGGATTGCCCTCCCCGCGCCGCTGAGCCCTCACCCCCCTCGCATCCCATTTTGGAAGCAACTGAACTGGCTGACGGCCCCCCTCCCCATTCTTCACCATAGCGACATCCTGCGTCGCGGGTGTTATCGCCTGGAAGTAGCCTGAGGGGACATCCCTTCGGTTGTTTTCCGCCCCGCCGCACAATGGAACGAGCCGTCTGAAGGGATCGGACATGATATTTTTTACTAATATTGCAAATTTTGATGTTTATTTCGTCACAATTTCAATTACCAAGATTATTTCAGGAGGAAAGCTCATGAAAACACCAGTGTAACCATGTTTGAACTTTCTTGTTTTATATTTCCAAAGATATAAGCTTTTGAAGTTTCCAAATTGTGCTCGACTTTTCGTATCGACTCAATCCACTGTGCGCCCGCGCAAAGACCCAAAAGCCACCAAGGGTAGGTAGCCGTGGCTTCACCGAGGTTCACGGCCCCCTTTAGCGAGAACTTTTAGCGCGAATATTTTGGAACAACATCCATGATAACAGCACGCATCTTTTTGAACGGAGCAGATCAAGCGTTCAGATCAAAGGCGGATTAGAACGGAACGGGAAGCGGGAGCCTCGTCATTGGTCGAAATGATATCGATTTATTATAGGTTGATCGATATTTTATGCGAGATCAAGCGGGAAAATTTCGATTGATCGATAAATCGATAAAAAAATCTGTTGTAGAAAATATCAGACAATTTCTCGAGAATGTGAAAATCGTAAAAATTTCCAACTAGATGGAAAGCAATTTAGCAACGAAAGAATAGTGAAAAGATGTTCCTTCTGAGGAACGCGGAATAGAGAATAGGGATAGGCGCGCTCCCTTTTCAATTGAAAAAAGTGTGCATTTCAAATGAGCGCGGGATCCTCGTTTTCAATACGGATTTGGAGCGGACGGAAAAAACCGCGCATCCGACACCAGATTCCCATCGGAGTGACGCGGTTCTTGTTCAGAGGAGCGGAGTGCTGAGTGGTGCCTTTTCCCATGCGATGAGCGAGCGTCACCGATGACGCCTGTCCGTCGTCCATCGTCCATCCACAGCTGTCCACCATCCATCCACTCCGAGCCGATGTCCCTTCCGCCGTCGCGGCCAAACAAGGAATAATTCCTCAACACAATTCCACGCGTAAATCTCCCACGTCAGCCGGCCCACTACTCCTGGCCTCCACGGTTGGCCCGCTCCAGGGTTTCCCGAAATTGTCACTGTAATTTTCACTTTGCCGCGATTGTTAAACTGTTAAACTTGGCAATGCGACTCCTCGTCGATGTGTTTCATCTCCCTCTCGCTTCGGGCTTCGCCGCCTCTTGCCGTGTTGACAGATGGTGCGCGTTGATCGATTCCTGTTGATTGGATTCACACCATGGTGGGAACTAAAAAAGAGGTTCTCTCATGAGTATAGTAGCAAATTTGCAAAAAAAAAAAAATAAAATTAATAAAAAAAAAGGATTACTAAAAAATAAATAAAACTGAAAGTAAATACTTTTTTTTCATAAAAAAAAAAAAAAAAAAAAAAAAAAAAAAAAACTATTAGTTGATGGCCTCTTTGCTGATCTTCTTGGAGGAGACAAGAGGGACGCCCAGTAAAACGGCGGGAACAGCGGTATGTGCAAGAGAGGAAAGTTCCAACTTCTGAAAGGGTTGTAAGAGGATAGCCTCCTAAGTTCCCATAGCAAGACGTCTTGCCATGCGTTTTAGTAGCGCCACTGGGTGTCTACCCAGTGGCACTCCGTGTGAAAGTGCGACAAAATTCAGCCCCTGGACTTGGTACAGCTTCTGACCCAATTTGATTTTGTGTGGTTACCTAGATACTTGAAAACCGTTCGG